GTGGCGCCCGACAGCGACGTGACGCTCCCCGATTCCGTGGACTGGCGCGCCAAGGGGGCCGTCACTCCCGTCAAGGACCAGGGCCAATGTGGCTCGTGCTGGGCTTTCTCTGCAGTACGGTTGGCCCACATCAGACACCACATATTTTTCTTATTAAAAAATCGCCCTCTAGTAAATTGTTCAGCAGCTATCATTCATACTTCGAAGTTGATATTCCATTGAGCGGAATTTATATTGTATACTTAGACGTTTTATTGTGGCGATCTAGCTGATGTTACATATTTCCGATCGGGAGAGTTGAAAAAATTTTGTTTAATCTTTCTCATGCTGGAGTATCCTTCTACTGAGTAGAGGCGAGGCTGATGAGACGGTGAGTTGCAAATAGATCTTTTTTATTCACAAGAATTATCCCGGTTCACTATCTTGTACTGGATGCACCGACTACAAAACATATTGGATTGAATATAATTAAATTATGTAATCATACTTTTTTAAACGTTGATGGGAATATTTTTCTTACTAGTAATGACAATATTATGACATCGATAGACAGGGTTAACCCCACTAAACGCATTGTACATTTATAAAGATCGATTATTCTGCCTGTTTTGCTCCTGTACCAGACGGGATCGTTGGAAGGTCAGCACTTCCGCAAGACGGGCCAGCTTGTGACACTGTCGGTACAAAACCTGGTGGACTGCTCGCAACCCTATGGTAACTTGGGCTGCAATGGTGGCTTAATGGACCGGTCTTTCCGGTACATAAAAGATAACGGCGGCATCGACACCGAGGAAGCATATCCGTACACGGCCAAGGTAAGTCGGTGCCAGTCGTTCATTCTAGCTTTTGCGCTCGAATGGGAGTCCACCAGTACCATGTTGAAACCAAGTATTATGCATTCGACGGACATGTTTCTCGCCGGATATATTGAATATTCGTGTTATGGTAACTAAGAAATCAACAGTAGAACGTGGACAATATTTGCGCCATTGAACATTCAAATGCATGTAATAGAAATTTGATCGTTTCCAATCTGCTGAACAGGACGATTTTTGCACGTTCAACAAGAGTGGTATCGGCGCCGAAGACACAGGCTTCGTGGACATCGAGAGCGGAAACGAGGATGCGCTGAAGGCAGCCGTGGCCACCGTGGGTCCTGTGTCCGTGTCAATGGATGCATCCACCACTCTGTTTGAGTTTTATAACTCAGGTAAGCATACACTCTTGACCAAGTCTTCCTGCTACGCGTGATCAAATAACTTTCTAAACTTGAAATAAAGATCGAACTTGCGCACTTATGACCTTTCGATTGTGTAGGAAGAATCCTAACTTCTATTACTTGTATTAATGAAGTAACGTTGTTTTTCCCAAGTTTTGTAGTCATTTTTGTATAGCTGCGTTCAAAGCGCTGAAGCACGATTCCAATTCTCAGAAAAATTTTATCACATTTCTCATTAATCTGAAAATTGCACAGTGATGACGTCCAAAACGAGTTTCTAGGTAGATATCATTCTTAAAACAGTGTAATGTTCAGTTCAAGCAATTGCTATTGATGGAAAATATACCTGTTTCGTTACCTCTTTTGACGTTTCTTTTAATGTTGTGTTCAATTTCGCAGGCATTTACAACGATCCGAGATGTTCCTCTATATACTTAGACCACGCCGTGCTGGTTGTGGGCTACGGAACAGAGAACGGCCAAGACTTTTGGCTCGTGAAGAACTCGTGGGTTGAGGCTCATACCGTCAGCAGTCGCTTTTTGGTCCTCTTGCGTTTTGGTGTGGCTCGTACGTACCCACATCATTCGCTTATGCCACCGGCGTGTCGAAGCTCGTATCCTTGTCAGCTGTTACTGCTCGTGACGCTTTGGCGTGGTGTCTACAATCGACGCTCGTTCTTTTCTGTGGTGTGTCGAGGCTCGTCAGCCGTAACTGACTTTTAGCGTTACAGCGTGGCTCGTACTCACTACTCACGCCACTCGCTGCTGTGCGAATCGACGAGATTTGTACACCGCGGTTGTAATTCAGTTTTCTGCAACTCTTCATTGTCGACGAAGGAAACAAACATATGCCTCAATTGGAGAATTTATGTGCCTCTGTATGAAGACTCGTGTACTTTGCTCGAAGACCGCCAGCATACGATAAAGATTGTTTACACGGTGTTCATTTCATCCCCTTTCAACGCATGCAGAGGAGCTTAAAGTTTGACAAAAGAGTCACTCATGAGCTCTTGCGTTTTAAAAAGGTCAAAACTCTGCGCCGTAGACACGCAACCTTAGCTATTTATACTCTGCAGAGGTGTTTCTAATTTACACCAAAAAGCATATAAAACGCGAAATTTAGTCCTTTACGAGCAACAGACGTCTAATATTAATTTTTCCTTCAAATCTACCATAATACCACAGAATGAAAATAAATATTGTTACCTCTTGGTAAGGGCGTTGGAGATTTCGCGAAGTTTTCACTGTCACCGATTCTGGTACTGACCGTGTCTTGTTTAAAGAGTTACCAGAGACTGGTTTATCGACTATATCCACGGGAAATTAAATTTGATACTAAGAGTAATACCTTTGGTGCTCCTCGCCACTATATTAAAACCCTTACTGAACGTTGTTCTATTCCTCGGATCCTACGAGACGTTGTGCTTTTAATATGGTAACACCGTTGGCTATGTTAACCCAAAATAACTCGTCCATGATGTCCTGATTAACAACACACTATGTTTTTTTCGTGCCTGTAGTTCGGCCTACACATGATGTTAGAAAGCCTCTTTAAATTTGAAGCAATGCTTCAACTAAACTTAAATAATTACGGCATATTAAACCGACTAGCTCGATGCTTTGCAACTTTATTATGACAGTGTCTTTCATGGACTCTGGACTTATCGAAACTCCCCAATTCTAAAGATATATCACAATTTCCAACTCACTATATATGTTATGAATCAAACGAAGCTCCAAGTCAGTGTTTTAAAATCTACTCTTTACGTCATAAGAAATAGCAATACAAATTTAGAAGGAAAATTTGAGGAAATGACAATGATAACTTCAACGTTAGAGCTTTTGCAAGTTGTCAATCAAGCACAGCAGTCTCATCGTAAGTGAAAACCCATATCCTACCAGCTGAAGTGTGTCGAACTATTGAAGTAATTGAAATTTTCACTAAAATTGTATCTAATAATATTTCTTCTCTGTCACCTGTCATTTGTCGTCTTCTTTGTACTGTACCTGTAAGTGCTCCAGTATTTGAACGTAATGAGTGACTTAATAGTGGCTTCCTTCTACATACAGGGTTAGCCAAAAGCCACTGACCATTTTTGTTTTTAAATTTTCGTTTTATATCTTAATATTTTTTATTATTTTTTCAGATCCTCGAAATTAATTATGGAGAAATTCAGTCCAGTCCAACGTATGCAAATTGTAAAATTTTACTATCAAAATCATGGCTCAATAATTCAAGCCCAAAGAGCTTATCGAAGACAATATAGCAACCACAATAGACAACAGCCACAAGCAACCACAACATTGTGCCAATAAGCCACAATATTTAATGGAGCTAAAAGAAAACATCACCAGAGAAATAATTAAGCCAGGAAATTTTGGAAAAGGTTATGGTAAAGTTAATCGAAAGAGCTGCAATTTGTGAAGCATACGTAAAGTGGAAGGCATATGCAGGATGTTATTCTTCACTCTTACCGTTAAAGTTTCTAAAGCTTAATGAAAGTAAATTTTGGATAAGAATGAAAATAAATTTGTGTTAGAGAATCAAATTCCATCGCCTTGACTTTATGATACAAAAATTCATGCAGATAGCTGTTAAAATAAATATGTTAGTTAAAATTGAAATGGATCAGTGACTTTTAGCCAGCACTGCTATATCGTGCTAGTCGTTTTTCTATTTTGTGTTCCCCAAAGTTGACGGTGTTTCTTCCTTGGTGCTGCGTTATCATTTATTGTTTAAGAAATTAGCTCCAATATACTATTTTCTATGTTACCATTTTTAGTTTCAGATATGTTACTGTGCATTCTCAGCTGCGCAACCCTATCACTGTGATAAGTTGCATTCAATGGATAATACGTCCGATTTTCCTGAAAAAAAAATTGTTAAACCCGATATGTAGCCGTTACAGAGCAATTAATATCTGAAAAGTTACTGCAGTAAGTATACGTGACGTACTTCCAAAAATAGTAACGAATTCGTAGTTCTTTTAGCAAATGACGGACGGCTTTTCAAGTGAAACCTACGAATCACAGACGAGAAATCACCGTTACATGCAATTAAACGAGTTTTGATAGTACAACTCCTCGTCAAAGCAGGACTGTACCATCAAAGCCACACTTCAGCACCAGACGACGCACTGGTCGGACCATTTTGAACCCATTAGTCATCATGGCATATGTGAGCATCAATGATTTGAATCCACGCCATCATCGCAGCTTAGTTCACGACCAGCAACAAAAACCACGCACTGAGCGGATTTTTTGAACCCATAAGTAGTTATGGAATACGTCGGCATCTATGATTTGAACCCAAGTCAGCATCGCAGTTCAGTCCCTCTAGAGTTAGACAGTGAGTTGCGCTCAGCGTCAGCCACGCTTTCTACGTCTGTTGCTGTTTTATACACACGTCGCATCGAAACGAGGTGTTCGATTTCAATCATGATATTCGCTGCGACAAGTTTCCTAACAGCAGGGCATCCTCTTAAACAGGGAAGTTATGCCCTGAGAGTTGAATATCATTTCCGCTGCTTAGCTATTTGATTTAAAAACATTGACTTGATCCGATTTCAAATTGCCCTGAACTATTCTTAGTAAAAATAAACGACGAGAATGATGGCACATCTTGGTGGACAACTATGTCAGACAAAAAATTCATGCGAGTTTGAAACCATTCATGCGAGTTTGAAATTCATGCGAGTCGGTAACCATGATCAGCGTTTCTATGTATTAGCTTGATTCCAACGAATACGTTCACGTGGATAAGGTTAAAAATACACCAGACATGTCCGTAGGAAGTTATTTACCGCAAACAGCAAGAGTCTTCAACTGAGCTTCTTTGAAATACGTTATTAAAGCAATTTCAGGTTATAAAAATCCCTCGATATCATAACATTGTGTAGTGTGTAAGCTATAAAAACGCTTAAAACTGTTGTGAATAGAGAAAAAGACACGTGTTTGACATTAAATCTACAGCGATTTGAAACAACATTACCTACGAATTTGTCAAGTTTCATTAGAACGAGAAAAATATCTAACGTGAAAGGAGGAAGAAAGGAGGAAGCTTTCTATAATCAAAGAACATAGGGAAAAATTAGAAAAGAACTTTATCGTTGTGTCACCATGACCACCACACGCTAAGGCGAAAACAATTCCGATTCTTACACATCTGTCGACATGACGCGTGCAATAAATTATTATCTAACAATACAAATGCAAATAATCATCCGGTAGGAGGACTGGCATTGGCTATACTAGAGGATAGGACGCAGCAGTTGCCACACCGCACATATTGCCGGCATTGCGCGCAATTTTGATGTATCCTTCATCTCCCCAAGACTTTCCCCACGAGTTCTTCACGAGCCAAAAGTCTTGGCCGTTCTCTGTTCCGTAGCCCACAAGTAGCACGCCGTGGTCCAGGCGTTTGCTGGAGCATAGCTGATCGTTGTAGATACCTGCGAATTTGGACACAATGTAAACTATATATATATATATATATGAAAATGGGTAATGCAACAGACATACTGGCCCATCACTGACAGCAGCTAGCGAGGAAAGTTGTATTTTGTCAGTAACTAGCGAATGTGCCGGTAACTGTTTGTACCTCGGAGCTCGCTGCGTAAACGTCATTGCTTTGAAATAAGGAATAGGATCAAACATTTGTGGGAAGATTTTAAATGTGCAATCGCAAGCATTCAGCGCATAGGGACAAATAGACAACAAATCGAAGAGAAACAACGTTACCTCATTAATATAAGAAATATAAATTAGGAGCTGGCCTGCGTAACAGGGATCTAAAAAAAGACCAATAATATTAGAACTTTCGCGATTAAATTGCGGCATTGGAAAGGTAACTGTAGTCGAATCAATATACATAAGTGTATTCTCGCCTGATTTATAAAAATGGAAGTCATTGTTGGATGCGTCAATAGCAATGGACACAGGACCCAAGGTGGCCACAGCTGCCTTCAGCGCATCCTCGCTGCCGCTCTCGATGTCCACGAAGCCTGTGTCGTCGGCGCCGATGTTCTTCTTCTTGAACTCGCATGTATCACCATCCTGTTCATGAAATTGGTTATTACAATATTTTTATTTCCAGCATCACATAAACTGACATACATATTGTCAACATTCTATGATATATTTCGCAGTTAATAATATTATTAATAAAGAATTAATATCAAAAATATCTATGGACAATCATGTCAGAAGGAAGCACAAATTACAGTTTGATCATGAAACCGGCCCCCGACCCATTCAAGCACACAATTAGAATTGCCGACTCACTGCGGCTGTGTACGGATATGCTTCCTCGGTGTCGATGCCGCCGTTATCTTTTATGTATTGGAAAGCGTAGTCCATGAGGCCGCCATTGCAGCCTTTGTTACCGTAGGCGCCCGAGCAGTCCACCAGGTTCTGTTCAGACAGACTCACCAGCTGGCCCGTCTTGCGGAAGTGCTGGCCTTCCAATGATCCCGTCTAGTATCAGAAGAGAAACTGGTGAAATTATTGTACTTATATAGTAAACCTATAATACGTTCAGCGTGAATAAGTCTGTCAAGTTTGCATACTTAGAAAAAATTTGATGTCACATAATGGTTCACAATATCCAAAAAAATTCTACTAATCGTCTTCCCATGTTTTAATGAATTTTGCTTATATCCTAGAGGATATCTGATCCAACTTGTTTTCTAGCCGAGAATTTTACCCAAAAATAGTTAGCCTAAATAACTATGAATGGGAAGAGAATATTTTTTTGAAATTTGAAGTCTAATTAGCCTCAACTTAGTTGAGAGGCATCCTAAACTGGGACAGATTCTCGTAAACCCACAAATATTTCGATCTCATGTAATCGGAAATGTCATGCACCATCGCAGATACGAAAAAAGGTTACTAATGGAATTTTCAACTTCGAAAAATGAACTTCGGTAGCAGAAGAAATGATCTTATCACGATTACTTCCATCAGAAAAAGTTGCGTTATGTGGTTTGGTTTGACATAAGGCGGAAAAATGTCAGAACCTTTAAAAGTTGAAAATTTGGTATTGATAGCTGAAAATTATTTCAATGAGTTCATCAATTTTCAATAAAAATAATTTATTTCTTTAATTAGATTGACGTACTGCGGAGAAAGCCCAGCACGAGCCACAATCGCCCTGGTCCTTGACGGGAGTGACTGCCCCCTTGGTGCGCCAGTCCACAGTCTCGGGGAGCTTCACGTCACTGTCGGGCGCCACGAAGTGCGATGCCTCGTAGGTTCTGTTCATGCCATTGCCTCGATAGCCGTTCATCGTGTGCACGAACTCGTTATGCAGCTGTAAACACATGCATTGTAAGTTAAAAACAAAAGTTTTGCTCTAATTTTTAAACTCGCTATGCAACTATAAACACATGTATTGTAAGTTCAAAATTAAAGTTTTGCTATAATGTTAATATCATAACCTTTGACGTAAGTTTTTAAGCAAGTGCTGTGTTTTACGGCTGTAGATTGGTGAAATGGCTTGTTCAACTCAACGTAGAAGTTCGACATTGCATAATGCAGTATTTCAAGCATAGAGAGTAATTGAGCTGAAATGACGCATTTAAGTGAGATAAAAACAGGTAAATTACTATTATTTATGCGCAATTTCGCATCAAACAGTTCGAACATACGATCATTTCGCAGAGGTAATATTATATCATAATAATCTCATTCCCAAGAACGTTACAGACACGGGTATTGATGTGAGTAAAATAGAAAAGGATTATCAAAGCGTCGTAAAACCGAGCTTTCTAAACGGACATTAGATAATCATCCTAAGAAGTCGTCCATCCTGCATTTATGAAAAATTTTCTGAACGTTAATTAACTTTTAAAAAGTGATTGTTCAATAGAGGCTGGCTTTTTTACCGTTATATAACTGGATCATCCTTGTCACCAGCATCGCCGTTTTCAACGTTGATGGCTAGAACATTTGTGATCAAATGCAAAAACCTCATGCATACAATTAAATGAACTCGCCATATCTCCAAAGCGATTCATCTTCAAGTCGTATGTGCGCTCTCCTTTGTTGTACAGTTGGTTGTGCCTGGCAATCTTTTGCTTGTTCTCGGCGAAGACTTTGAGGCGGAAGGCATCTTCCACGTGGTCATACTCCTTGTTGTAGGCGAGCTGAAACAAGAATAAAGTCACGATTGTGAACAAATTTATCGCAGACATTTCTAACTGAAATTATTTGCACAAATATATTATTAATCGAAATGGGAATGGTAATACGATGCAATGGTAACGATGGTGTATAAGAAATTTCTTTGACTTAGCTCTAATTAATTACAAAATTATTATAAATATTAATATTTATAATATATATAATATATATATTGTATTATATTAAATGCAATATATGTGTAATAATTAAAAAAATTGTATGTGATATACGTGTAATATATTAAAAAATTTAATATATTACACGAATATACAGTAGTATTTATACATGAGTAAAATGCATGTATCAATGAAGTATTTTCGGCCATGCATAATTGGAACTTGTTGAGAATAGTTAGTACTTAGATATTTGTTTGCTTATATACTTTTACTACTGATTTCATGTTTTTGCACTGTTCAAAACTATCAAGCCTCACAGTTTAGTGCATCTAGTCCGTGTATCGAGTGACACGTTGAAATCTAATCTTCGCTCCATTAATCAAACAACAGACTTTAAACTTTTGCTTGAGTAAAATGGTTAAGGAGATACACTGATTGATGCTAAAGCTTACCTAAGAACACTTATTTACTTCTGCTCGAATAATCAGTGTGATTTATTTTGAAAACTATGTTAAAAACTTGATGGAAGATTGATTGGATTCAATTAAAGTATCGGCACGCCAAACACATGTGCGGCAGCCCAATCGATGTCAAATGATATTGATATTTGTAACATTATTTTCAATGTGTTAACATATAAACGTGAATAAATAAAATCCCATCGATGCGTTTTATCAAGAATTTCAGTTATTTTAGTCTATATAAATTTAATTCGTTAAACATGCGTTTACCTTCTGTCGGTAATACTCTCTATATCATGTGAACTTTGGAAAGAATAAATGAACGAAAAAATGTAGATTTCATCACTTTGTCGGCGTAAAATTGCGATCCTTCCCTAAAAAAATGATGGAACAGTTAATCAGAAATAAATTTACAGAACAATATTCTCCGTGTCACCAAAACAGCGAATTAATCAAAGGAGTCATGTTATGCGCTATGTTGTTTCCAGAGTAATAAAAATAAGTTCTCTCTCTACCCTCTTTTCCGTTTTAAAGAAGTTGTTTTTTAACATTCCAGTTGTTATCTAGGAAAGTCTGTAGATTGCCAAGAAAAAAATGCTTCAAACCAAAGGTTTGGAGGAGTACACGATTCCTTGATACCTTGAATGACTCCCATTCCTCCAAGACAACGCCGTAGAAAGATGCAGCACTGGCAGCCGAGGCCAGGCCGAGGAGCAGCACTACTAAATGCATCTGTAAAACAAATCCAAACTTGTTATTGTTTCAAGAAAATTAATCTTAGCTAAGCTCGTATTTACCATTTGCGAGTACAAATAAAAACGATAGCTTTTTAACGCTTTTACAAGTTGCCGTCCAAAACCCATAAGGCAATTCACTCATTTGGCAGTTAGCGTAGCCGTGGGCTCTTGATTCAGCACACGAGCCAACGCGCAACCAAAACATGGAATAGCTGCTATACACAGCCTCAGAACTAAACAGTTTGAAACGACGGTGAATTGCCGTAAATCTTACAGTTGCACCCAGGACTGGCTTCATGAACCAATCATAGCCGCACCTCCTCATTTACCGCACTGAAATTCCGCACTGCAATGACCGGCCCAACCTCCTCACTTACGCCACCTCTCCTCCGTCCCACAGTCAATTACTGGAAGGTTAGGTCCGGAAAGGTTGGGATAGGGAGAGAGTCAGGGTAAGTGTAGAGCTAAGAACTCGATGGACTCATATTTGTTAAGTTTGAGAAGTTTTAATAACTGTCTGTGGACTCACAGGCTCCATAACGCATAACCTATTCGCGAATACTAATGTGTCTTCAATCGTGTTTACGGTGTTTGTTAGTAGAGAAAAAGGATTTGATTTTCAAGTTGGGCAATGCCGAAATCCAACAAGCATCTTGCTTGACCTACCTCTCCTAGATCACATTTGGAGATAGCTTGCTCCGATGTATATGAGTATACTTGTACGTCTAATTACGTCTAATAAATTAGACGTAATCTTATACTAGTACGTCTAAGTATGAGTACGTCTAATTTATTCAAATAAGTTGAATTTAAGTTATCTTAAAATAAACTTAACACATTAATTTCTGCTGCGATTTGGCAGTAACCATGTGCCTTTTTCATTATCATCCACACTAGTGACGCAACGAAGAACGATATCAACTTTGAAAGTTGATTTTTTTCCAAGCCAAATTTCCGCTAATTATTGGTGATCTTTCTACATAAATGATTTGTCAATGCTTTGATATTCTCATATCAAACTGCAATTCTGTGGCCTTGTGAAAAAACATCTCAAGGTACAAACGGCTGGCTGCACAGTACATATCGGGTCATAAATATTCATATGTCTGAAGCAACCTATAGGAACCTTGCAGTAAATCATAAAATAATAACATGAATGAGCCATACTAATTTGCCATCTCTCACAACCGTCATTTTTATAAGTTTACGAATAATTGCGAGGTGAACTTAACGCAAAAATGTCCTTAACATTAAATTACACGGGATGAAAAAAAAAGAAAATTACTTCAGATATACAGTATTTTTCAACTTACCTCTGACTCAAGTGGATGAATTCCGAAGGAGAGAGTAATGGGAACTCAATTCAGAAAGCAAAACCCGTGAAGATGTTTACTTCAGCACCAGCAACTGTTTTCTGACAGCAGGCAACGTCGGAGCTCTATTTATATCTCTCGGCAGGCCTATAGCTGACCCGCAGTTACGCAGATACGAAACATCGTTCCAACCGCAAGGATGACGTCATGTGATCCAACCACCCTATGTTAGAAATTCAAAAAAGAAGTTGTTTAGGCTTATACACCAGTAACTTGATACAGTTAAGCTTTTATTGCTCTCTCTGCTACATGAATATTTCATCACTCTAAAAAATGCTGGATAATTTTCCATTGATTTTTGAGCCAGATTTCAGACGACGAGCCATATATATATATACTTACATGCGATTCGAACATATTTGGCGGTAACCATGAATTACGAAAAGTTAAGCTGCCAAATTAATGTCATTTGGCTCACAGCGTAAAATTGAATTTTAAACCTGCTAATCCCAGTTTTTTTCGATTAAAAAAAATGCCTTCATACAAGAGACTCGACGGAGCTTGATACTATTTCTTATTTAATCTGAAGTATATTTGAAGTAAAAAATGGAAAATTGCACAAAATTTCTTAGCGATGAACGTTCGTAGACAAATCAAACTTTTCACCAATTATATTGGTGAAATATATATCAACACCAAAAATTGGCTCTATCAACACCAATATAATTACTGATAGCAATACCGACGCTATAACTCAATAATATGTGAAGTACACGGAAGAGACGGAAAATGTATTAATTTGCTGTTAATAATACTAATAATTAATACTAATAATTTATGCTCTATATAACTTAACAAATCAAATTTGACGGAAGACAAACGTTCCTATCTAGAACGAATGCGCAGTTAGATTAGTTTATTTGACTGCGATGAGCACTATGGGTTCCGAAGTTATTTCTAATTGTTTCAGAAAATCTTTAAACTCATATGTATTTTATTAACAAAACTGCTCTTTCAGTGCATGGTCGGCAATATTATGGTGCATGACAGAAAACTCCCGACGTAGGAGAAGAATATTCAATGAGTGTTCGTGCCAAACGAACATGATGCAACGTTCGAGGCTTGGAGATGGCGTTGAATATGGAATTTAAGCAAAATTAAGACGAACATACAAATCGTCATTTTATGTTCTGCCGGTGCCTTCAGGCTTGTTAATACAATTGTGCTTAATATGCATTTTGTACGAAGGGTGAATGCAACAATCAAAATGAAACGTGGTCGTACGTGGAGTGCAGATTCTGTGCCTACATAATTTTTCCCTATACCCAGTCAGAAATCGCCGCAGTCTGGAAGCCAGCCGCGGGTGAACTTGCCTGCGCCAACGCTCGCCCCAGCGCAACGCCAGGGTTCGCGCTATTCGTTGCAGATGAGGCCATATCGTCGCTAGACTGCTTGGACGCGAGGTAAAGTCGGCAACAACGGCCTAGATTTGCGCGTTTGCGAACGTCTCTGCGGCGAACGGCCGCAATGACTGCGAGAATTTCGAACTGGGTAGAAGCTTCAAATGAAGAAGGGTTAAAAATAATTGCATTAGCAACGTATTAAATGAAAAAATATATCAGAATTTTTCAAACGAATTACGGTGTGTTACTGGCAAATGTGCAAATAAGATATTTCATCATTCACAATTCGGTTTTTATACTAAGGCTTCTAATTTCCTCTGACGAATGTGCTATTTGTTTGATTAAATCGAAAATTTGTACGTTCATCAGCGCACAATTGATTAACTTTTTATCAAGTGCGGTTGATAAAGAAGCGAGTGTATTCAGAGTGCGTCACATACGCTGCATGCAAGTATTTAAAGGGCAATTATAATACCTGCTGAGTTGCATGGCTGAGTCATCCTCCTCGGGATTCCTGGGCTCCTCATTGGGAAACTTTTATAAGATTTCATTCACGCGCATGAGGAAAGTATCTCTGGCTAGGTAGGCTACTAGAGCCTAGTAGCTAGGCTCTGGCTAGAAGGCTACCAAAGTTTGGAGGCAGCAAACACAATTGATCATGTAAATAATTCACTGATCTCTTTAGACGCTATAATACTCATTTAGGAACTAATTAACATTGCTTACAAAGCCGAAAAAGTCACTCTAGTATGATGGTTTAAGTGATGAATGCAAAATAACAAGTTTACAACGATGCTTAACTGCATCTAAAAGAACTGTCACATCAGCACTATGTGCACATTTAATAACTTTCCGAGTTTCTACTTCTTTTACTCAAAATTTCACAGACAAACATTTCTTACTTGGGAACAATAGATTCCAAGTTATTCTTTGATACTGTTTCATCATTTCCACTCTTAGGCAATGTAAGCAGACAATGAAGACTGGAGCAAAGTAACTATGCGATATGCCTCCATGATGCTTACTAATGAATTTTCGGAACATTTTAGTCAGACTGTTAACGAAAAATATTTTTTGGAAAATTTCCTAATGTGTCACTATAAAATCTTATGTTACTTGTCATACCCCATTAGATTGGCCTCTCTTCCATTATTTTGTTTGAAAAGGTAAACTTCAAGTCTTACTTTATCATTTCGCACTGATTCTACAGATTTACAGCTTTAAAATAAAATTACCGTAGTCTGATATTGATGAGGAACACTTTGAGTCTACGTTCACACATGCCTAAATCCAAACCTGAGCAGAGCAGAACAAATTAGTGGGCGGGAGAGCAAGTGGGTACATTTTTTATGAGTGGTTTCGATTTGAATCTTCATTCTAAATTACCCTAACCGTGGATGTGGTCGTAAATGCATTTGCTGGAACTGCCCGGTCCTGGACCTGAAACTGGTCTTGATGAGTATCTTGACCAATTCTGTGACGCGGTCAATAGGCTTTCGGAGGGAAAAAAATTTGGTAGTTTGACCAGGCGCTTCAAATTTATATGTTATGATGAGTTATAATATTGCGATTGTCACGCAGAGTGTTTTCATTTCGTGCTTAGTTTTATTCCCTTCTTCTGGTCTGGGCCACATAAATATCTACAGCAGCATGCCTGAGGAGTTGAAATGGAAGTTTGGACGTGACGCATTAATGGAGACGAAGATGAAAACTGGCGGACCGCTAACCTTTCTTCGGACACGTGGATTGCACATTGCACAGCAGGTCTCATGGCAACGTCTTACAACGCGTAGAGACCAGCAATGGCACTGACTTGGCACAGCACAGGTTTATCCGTACCAAATCACTGTAATTGATTTAATAGTTGCCATTTTGCTTCAAACTATTTTAATACCGGTTCTAATGATCATTGTAATGAGTGGTAATGAGCGTCTTCTTCGTTTCTCCAGACCCTAGGCTTCCGCTTCTACAACACTGCCATTTCGATATCAAAATTATGCGACTCAATAAAAATATCGAAAAATTAGGACTCGGGTGGCAAAAAAAAGTTTGAACGCCTAATAATCCTACAGAAATTACTGTTCTCCGCAAGCCTATTGACCGCGTCACGGTGTTGGTCAAGATACTCATCAGAACCACTTCCAGGTCCAGGACCGGCTAGTTATAGAAAATGCATTTATGACCACATCCAAGGTTAGGGTAAGTTCAAATAAAGATTCAAATCGAGACCACTCTTGAAAAATACTTAATCCTACTTGAATATTTTTCCCAGGCGAAAGAAAATAGTCTCAAGCAGAAAATAATCACTCCCTCTTTGCCCACCTTTCTTCGTCATATTCTGTTTTGGTTTTGATTTGTGCACGTTTGAACACTGAGTATTTTTCAGCAATGTCGAACAATAACATAATGATTACTATTTTTTACATTAAATGCGAATGAGATTTTTTAAGTCCTAATAAAGAAGTGGGGAGAAGAATGGGCAAGCAATATAGCGATCCTCGTTCAAGTTTCGTTCTCCAGAAAATTCCAGCTAAGTCCGGTAGTCAGGAAATAATTAATAATTTACATACCAAATAATTAATACATACCAATACAATAAATAATACATACCAAATTAATTTACATACATAATTTACATTGCCAAATAAGAGTAGAAATCATGAAACAGCCTTGAATAATAATTTGGAGCATGAAATTCATGAAATCCACAATGAAAATATTTTTATTGATAAAATTAAGTGAAAGAATCATAGAAGTCTAGAATATTTTTAACCATGACAATAATAGTTTCATATTAATTTATTTTCGCAAGTGTGCTAAGCACTGTGGCTAATTTGCCATATTGTTTGCTTCACCTCAGCTAAAAACAACTAGATTGGCTCTTCGGGCTTTGTAGGCAGTGTTAGTTTCTAAATGAGTATTGCGGCGTCTCTATATATAGAGACCAAGACTCCATATAAACTGATTAATTTGGGTTATTCTTGCGTTCGGCATCTCCAAAACTTAGGTACCTTCTATACTAGCTTAGTCAGAGATACTTCCCTCATTTGCGTCCCAGTGTCGGAATGAAATCTTATAAAAGTTTCCCAATGAGGAGCCCAGGAATCCCGAGGAGGATGACTCAGCCATGCAACTCAGCAGGTATTTTAATTGCCCTTTAAATACTTGCATGCAGCGTTTGGAAAGCACTGTCAATATACGCTCGCTTCTTCATCAACTGCACATGACAAAAGTTAATCAATTGCGCAGTGATGGACGTACAAATTTTGTATGAAATCAAACAAATAACACATTCGTCAAAAATTAGAATCCAACAAATAATACATTCGTCGAGAATCAAACCTTGAACATTGCATCATGTTCGCTTGACACTCATTAAATATTCTCCTTCCACATCCGTTTTTCTGTTATGACACTAATATTGCCGACTATGAACCGTAAGAAGAGTTTTGCTAATAAAATAAAAATGAGTTTAAATATTTTCTGAAAACAATTAGAAACAGCTTCGGAATCTAAATTAAGAGCTCGCAGAATGAAATTTGATTGCCTATCTACTATCGATTTGTGTTTTATTCAAACAGAGCACATATCCTGGACGACATAATGAGTGGCATATTTACTTCATTTTCGTTGTGCGCATCGCAATCAAATAAATTAATCTAACTGCGCATTCGTTCTAGATAGGAAAATTTGTCTTCCATAAAATTTGATTAGGTTATATAAAGCACTTACTTCTACAGCGAATTAATACATTTTCATTCTCTTCCGTGTACTTCACATATTATTGAATTATGAAATCGGTATTGTTTTCAGCAATTATACTCGTGTTGATAGAACCAATTATTGGTGTTGATATATATTTCACCAATATAATTGGTGAAAAGTTTGATTTGTCTACGAACGTTCATCGCTAAGAAATTTTGTGCAATTTTCCATTTAGTACTTCAAATTTACTTCAGATTAAATAAGAAATAGTATCAAGCTCCGTCGAGTCTCTTGTATGAAGGCATTTTTTTAAATCGAAAAAACTGGGATTAGCAGATTTAAAATTCAATTTTACGCTGTGAGCCAAATGACATTAATTTGGCAGCTTAACTTTTCGTAATTCATGGTTACTGCCAAATATGTTCGGATCGCATGTGAATATATATGGTTTGTCGTCAGAAATCTGGCTCGAAAAACAATGAAAAATTATCCAGCATTTTTTAGCGTAACGAAATGTTCCTGCAGCGGTGAGAGCAATAGAAGCTTAATTATATCAAGATACTAATGAATAAGCCTACAAAATGTATTTTTTGAATTTCTAACATTGGGTGGTTGGATCACCTATCATTCTTGCGGTTGGAACGATGTTTCGTATCTGCGTAACTGCGGGTCAGCTATAGGCCTGCCGAGAGATATAAATAGAGCTCCGATCGACGTTGCCTGCTGTCAGAAAACAGTTGCTGGTGCTGGAGTAAACATCTTCACGAATTTTGCTTTCTGAATTGAGCTCCCATTACTCTCTCCTTCGGAATTCTTTAATTTGAGTCAGAGGTAAGTTGATCAACATATCCGAATTAATCTCAGTCTTTTTTCCCATGTATTTAGTGTTAAGAACATGTATGCGTGAAGTTAACTTCGCGATTCTTTGTAAGCTTATAAAAATAACGGTTTTAAAGAAGGTCATTCATAAAGACGGTCATTCATGTTTTTACCACGTTTTTTTACCACGTTTTTCTTAGCTCGCTTTCGTGTCCCTCTGTGATGATCAAATCTTGCAATCGATATTTCACCAATATTGAAATTAAGGCATGCCTAAATGAAGATGCGCCCCACGTTTTTCGTTTTAGATGTTGTAAAATATTTTAACTGAAATACAAAAGACCAAGAGAATGAAAGCAAACAGAGATCAGTTCATCAGTAGCTGCCGAAAAATTATTTTCTACTTTTGAGTCCACATGAAAAACGTGGTCTTTAAAAATTTTTTTATACATTTTATTACTTAATGATTTACTGCGAAATTCCTAGGTTGCTTCAGACTTATTTATGACCCGACATGTAGGTACTGTACATCTAGCCGTTCATACCTTGAGATGTTTTCCCCACAAGACCAGAGAATTGCAGTTTGATATGAGAATTGAGCATTGACCAATCACTTGAGAAATGACATGAGATCAAAACATTGGCCAATCACCACCTAGCGAAATGCTTTGAAATATCACCACATAGCGAAAACTTGGGTTGTAAAAATTCAGTCCTTAAGGATAACATCGTTCTTTGTTGCTTCATATCTAGTATCTGTGAAGTTTTATGAACAATGATAATGAAATAGGCACAAATCGCAACAGAAATAAATGTGTTTAGTTAATTTCAAGGTAACTTAAATTCAACTGAACTAAATATATTAGACGTAGGCTTAATTCCAGTACACTCATATATATCGGAACAAACTATCTGCATATGGGATCCAGGCGAGGTAGGCCAAGCAAGGTGCTTGTTGGATTTCGGCATTGCCCAACTTGAAAACCAACAATAAACATAATAGAAGACACAATAGTTTCCGTGAATAGGTTATACGTTATAGAGCCCGTGAGTCCACAGACAGTTATTAAAACTATTCAAACTTCACAAATGTGAGTCCATCGAAGCCTTATCTCCACACTTACCCTAATTCTTCACCTATCCCAACCAATCCTGACCTTACCTTCCGGTGATTGACTGCGGGACGGTGGAGAAGTGGTGTAAGTGAGGAGGTTGGGCCGGTCATTTCAGTGTGAACTTTCGGTGCGGTAAATGAGTAGTCACGGCTATGATTGGTCTATATTCATGAAGGCAGAAAGTTAGCCAGTCTCGGGTGCAACTGTTAGATTTACAGCGATCCACCGCCGTTTCAAGCTGTTTAGTTCTGAGGCTGTGTATAACAGCTTATCCATGTTTTGGTTGGGCGTTGGCTCGTGTGCTGAATCAAGAGTTGAGTTTGTGGCCCACGGCTGCGCTAACTGCCAAATGAGTGAATTACCTTACAGGTTTAAGACGGCAGCTTGTAAAGCGTTAATAAAATGTACCATTTTTATTTGTACTAGCAAATGGTAAATGCGTGCTTACCTAAGTCTAATTTTCTTGACACAATAAAAGTTTGTATTTTTGTTTCAGATGCATTTGGTAGTTCTGCTCCTCGGCCTGGCCTCGGCTGCCAGTGCTGCATCTTTCTACGGCGTTGTCTTGGAGGAATGGGAGTCATTCAAGGTATCAAGGAATCGTGTACTTCTCCAAAGCTTTGGTTTGGAGGCTTTCCTCCGTGGTAATCTACAGACTTTAGTAGATAACAATTGGAATGTTAAAAAAACAACTTCTTGAAAACGGAAATGAAGGTACAGAGAAAACTTATTTTTTATTACTCCGGAAACAAGATAGCACATAACATGACTCCTTTGATTGATTCACTGTTTTGGTGACACGGAGAATATTGTTCTGCAAATTTATTTTCTGCTTGCCTTTACGTTATTTTTTATGGAAGGATCATAATTTTACGTCGACCAAGAGATGAAATCATCATTTTTTCGTCCATATATTCATTCCAGAAGTTCACATAATAATGAGAGTATTACCGACAGAAGATAAACGCTAGTTCAACGAGTGAAATTTATATAGACTAATGTAACTGAAATTCTTGATAAAACTCATCGATGGGCTTAGATTCATTCACATCCATATGTTAACACATTGAAAATAATATTATAGTTATCAGGATCATTTGGGCTGCCAAACACATTGGCTGCATATGTGTTTAGCGTGTTGTAATTTTAATTGAATACAATCAATCTTCTATCAAGTTTTTAACATAGTTTTCAACAACAGTCACACTGATTATTCGATCAAAAGTAAATACGTGTCCTTGGGTAGACTTTTTCAGCAATCAATGTATCTCCTCAATCATTTACTCAAGAAAAATTTTTAAGTCTGCTGTTTGAATAATGGAGCGAAGATTAGATTTCAACATGACACTCAATACACGGACCAAATTCACTAAACTGTTGACGCTTCATAATTTTGAATAGTGTAGTGTAAAAACATGAAATCAGTAGTAAAAGTATATAATCAAACAAATAGCTAAGTAACATGGCTTAACATGGCTTAACATGGCTTAACATGGCTTAACATGGCTTAACATGACTTAACATGGCTTAAGATGGCTTAACATGGCTTAACATGGCTTAACATGGCTTAACATGTCATAACATGGCTTAAAATGGCTTAAGATGGCTTAACATGGCTAAAGATGGCTTAAGATGGCTTAACATGTTAAGCAACCAATGCCACCAACTCGCAATAAAGCATGTTCACCTAGGTTGCCCTGGATATAACTGTTATAGAACTATTATATAATCACTACGGAACTTATTTATAACATGGCTTAACATGGCTTAACATGGCTTAACATGTTAAGCCATGTTAAGCCATGTTACGGAACTACGGAACTTATTTATAACAGTTATGGCTTAACATGGCTTAACATGGCATAACATGGCTCAACATGGCTTAACATGGCTTAACATGGCTTAACATGGCTTAACATGGCTGAACATGGCTTAACATGGCTTAACATGTTAAGCAACCAATGCCACCAACTCGCAATAAAGCATGTTCACCTAGGTTGCCCTGGATATAACTGTTATAGAACTATTATATAATCACTACGGAACTTATTTATAACAGTTATGGCTTAACATGGCTTAACATGGCTTAATATGGCTTAACATGGCTTAACATGGCTTAACATGGCTGCAAAGTCTCAAAAAGTTCCAATTATGCATGGCCGAAAATACTTCATTGATAAAAGCATTTTACTCATGTAATACTACTGTTTATTCGTGTAATATATTATATTTTTCATGGCATTAGAGCTAAATCAAAGAAATTTCTTATACACCAGTGTTACCATTGCATCGTATTACCTTTCCTATTTCGATTAATAATCGATTGGCGCAAATAATTTCAGTTAGAAATGTCTGCGTTAAATTTGTTCACAATCGTGACTTTATTCTTGTTTCAGCTCGCCTACAACAAGGAGTATGACCACGTGGAAGATGCCTTCCGCCTCAAAGTCTTCGCCGAGAACAAGCAAAAGATTGCCAGGCACAACCAACTGTACAACAAAGGAGAGCGCACATACGACTTGAAGATGAATCGCTTTGGAGATATGGTGAGTTCATTTAATTGTATGCATGAGGTTTTTGCATTTGATCACAAATGTTCTTGCCATCAACGTTGAAAGCGTAAAAAAAATGCTGGTAAAAAAGATAATCCAGTTATATAACGGTAAAAAAGCCAGCCTCGATAGATGAGTTACTTTGTAAAAGTTAATTAACGTTCAGAACATTTTTCATAAATGCAGGACGGACGACTTCTTTTGATGATTATCTAACGTCCTTTTTAGAAAGCTTGGTATTATGACGCCTTGTTCATACTTTTCCGTGTGAGCAACTTACTCATATCAATCACTGTGTACGTCAGTAACGTTCTTGAGAATGAGATTATCATGATATAATATTACCTCTGCGATATGATCGTACGTTCGAACTTTTTGATGCAAAATTAAGCGTGAATTATAGTAATTTAACTGTTTTTTTTTCACATAAACGCATCATTTCAGCTCAATTACCCTCTATACTTGAAATACTGAATTATGCAATGTCGAACTTCTACGTTGGGTTGAACAAGCCATTTCACCAATTTACAGCCTTAAAACACAGCACTTTCTGTAACAACTGACGACAAAGGTTACGATCTCAAAATTAGAGCAAAACTTTTGTTTTTAACTTACAATGCATGTGTTTACAGCTGCATAACGAGTTCGTGCACACGATGAACGGCTATCGAGGCAATAGCATGAACAGAACCTACGGGGCATCGCGCTTCGTGGCGCCCGACAGCGACGTGAAGCTCCCCGAGACTGTGGACTGGCGCACCAAGGGGGCAGTCACTCCCGTTAAGGACCAGGGCCATTGTGGCTCGTGCTGGGCTTTCTCCGCAGTACGTCAATCTATTTATCAAATAAACTTCTTTCAATTGGAAATTTATGAATTTATTGAAAAAAATTTCATCTCTCACAACCATAATTTCAACTTTTAACGGATGTGACATTTTTCCGCCTTATGTCAAACCACATAAAAAACGAAACTTTTTCTGATGGAAGTAATAGGGACATTATCAGTTCTTCTGCTGCCGAAGTCCATTTTTTTGAAGTTATTCCATTAGAGACATTTTTTCGCATCTGCGATGGTTCATGACATTTCCGATTATATGAGATCGAAATATTTTGGGTGTACGAGAATCTGTCCCATTCTATGGTTCTTATCTACTTAGTTGAGGCTACTTAACTTTTAGTTTCATAAAAATATTCTCGTCCCATTTATAGTTATTCAGGCTCATAATTTTTGGGTAAAATTTTCGGATAGAAAACATGTTGGCTCGGATATCCTGTAGGATATGATCGTAATTCATTTAATGATGAGAGAAGTCGATTAGTACAAATTTTTTTGGATAGTGTAAACCATTAAGAGTGACATCTACTTTTTTTTAAGTATCCAAGCTTAAAAGTCGTATTCACGTTTACGTAACGAATTATATGTTTACTAAGCACGATAATTTCACCAGTTTCTCTTCTGATACCAGACGGGATCATTGGAAGGCCAGCACTTCCGCAAGACGGGCCAGCTGGTGAGTCTGTCTGAACAGAACCTGGTGGACTGCTCGGGCCACTACGGTAACGAGGGCTGCAATGGCGGCCTCACGGACTCGGCTTTCCAGTACATAAAAGATAACGGCGGCATCGACACCGAGGAAGCATATCCGTACACAGCCGAGGTGAGTCGTTGCCGGCCGTTTATTCTATTTGATTGCTTGAAGAGGTCGACGCCGCTATCATCATCAAACTGTAAATCATTTAGGCGACTGACATACACTAAAAATCGCGCTCCAATTACCGCGGCTTCGCTTCTTTGCAAGTTTTCAAGAGATACGAGAGTCATTTGGAAAGTAGTACCCNAAGTCTAGTAGCTTCTTCAAACTATCGCCAGTCATGAAAAGATCCGGTCAAATGACACGAGTTTAGATCTATGAACAAGGCACGAAATAGAAAAGAATCGGCGACAGGCCACATCAGGCCTACACTTCAGAGCCGACATCACTATGTTATGTTATGTTATGTCGACCGATGTAAAAGAATCGGAATTGTTTTCGCCTTAGCGTGCGGTGGTCATGGTGACACAAAGATGAAGTTCTTTTCTCATTTACCCTATGTTCTTTGACTATAGAAATCTTCCTCCTTTCATTTAAGATATTTTTCTCGTTCTAATGAAATTTGACAACTCGTAATGTTGTTTCAAATCGCAATAGATGTAATGTCAAACACGTGTCTTTTCCTCTATTCACAACAGTTTTAAGCGTTTTTATAGCTTACACACTACACAATGTTATTCTTTCGAGGGATTTTATAACTTGAAATTGCTTTAATCACGTATTTCAAAGACGCACAGTTGAATACGCGCTCTCTTGCTGTTTGTGGTAAATAACTTCATACGGACTAGTCTGGTGTATTTAACCTCACCCACGTGAACGTATTCGTTGGAAGCAAAACCAATACACAGAAACGCTGATCACGGTCACCGAAAACGTAGTGGCTTTACCTCTCAACTCGCACAATTATTCCAACGATTAATTGCTTGTTTGTTTGCCAAAACAGATGTTTCAAACTCGCACGAATTTTTTGTCTGACATAGTTGTCCACCAAGATGCGCCATCTTTCTCGTCGTTTATTTTTATTAAAAATATTTCAGGGCAATTTGAAATAGGATCAAAGCAATGTTTTTAAATCAAATAACTAAACAGCGCAATTGATATTCAACCCTCAGGGCATAACGTCCCTGTTTAAGAGGATTCCCTGCTGTTGGGAAACTTGTCGCAGCGAATATCATGATTGAAATCGAACACCTCGTATCGATGCGACGTGTGTATAAAACAGCAACAGGCGTAGAAAGCGTGGCTGACGCTAAGCGCAACTCACTGTCTAAAGGCCCGTTTACACTAGTGGCAACGATATGCGCTTTGAGTCGTTTGCTGCAGTGCCTCACCGCGCACAACCGTTCACACTACTTTTGTACTCGGTAGTTTGAGACTGCGCGCTTTGAACACCAGTTGCCACCTAGACGTCAATGAGGATGGATGTAACAGAATTTGAGCTGTGGGCCATTGTTCTCGGGTGTGCTGTCGTCCGTCATTCTTCGCACTATGCTAGTTGTAAACGAGAATTTAGCATAGGCATCATAATTAGAGAACTAGCACATTCAAAAAGATACAGTTTATAAAAAAATAGTCTATTCTTAAATAAAAAGTTCTAATATTCGTACCGATATCATATCATCCTTTGAAATCGCTTAACGGTAATGCATAAATTATCAGGAGTTGCTAAAATCACATAAACTAAACACGTCATGTAGAAATAACTTACATCATTTGCATTTCGATTTTTGTACTCCTTTGAACGAACACTCCATATGCATTCATTTCCTCTATAAAGATCAATTAGGCTCTCTTACTAGAGTTACTTCAAACGAGCGTGGTGTTAGTCGACATTTGGTGTGCCGGACCAGTGTACTCAATCAACCTTACTACTACTAGACCACAGACAGCTATCTACTAACTAAGAATTTAAAAGCAAAGAATAGTCCACAAAAATTCATATCTTTATAGAAAACGTTTCGGAGACCAGCTTCACCGTCAGTTCGTAGAATCTAGAATCACAAATCAGAAGTCCAAATGTCACAAATTAATACATTGAAACCATAGAACGAATTGAATTTCTTTAATTAATTAATTTAGATTTTTAATTTTATTTCAATTTTTAATTTAATTTAAATTCTTAGTTAATTTGCGATTTAAGCATACAATTGATATCAATTCTTTAATATCTATCTACTAAGCGCCGCGCTTGTGTTGCATGAGGCATGGCCCCTGTCAATCGCTAGCTCGTCAATCGGTCAAGAAGCGCATGCAGAGGCTGCAAAGCGCCTCTGCATGCGCTTTGAGGCACTTGATTCTCGTGTATTGCCCCTAGTGTGAACGGGCCTTAACTTGAGAGTGACAGAAATGAAAGTGAAAAACAGATTAATGCCACAGTTCTTGGGGGGACTTGGACATAACAGGGCTTTTGCTGGTCGTGGACCGAACTGCGAAGATGGCGTGGGTTAAAATCATTGATGCACACAAATGGCATGATGACTAATGGGTTAAAAACGGTCCGACCAGTGCGTCGTCTGGTGCTGAAGTGTGGCTTTGATGGTACAGTCCTGCTTTGACCAGGAGTCGTACTATCAAAATTCGTTTAATTGCACGGAACGGCCGATTTCTCGTCTGTGATTCTTCGGTTTAGCTTGAAAAGCGGTCCGTGATTGACTGGAAGAGGTATGAACTCGTTACTATTTTTGAAAGAACGATTGAATAAGGTAGGTTATATTGAACATGTATAACGGGTAAGTGTTAAGAATGCAAGGAATGCGGGTCGAAGCGATATAGCAAGTGTATAAGGCGCGGCTGTTTCGAGACCGCTGGAAGGAGTTAGTTTACATTGAACGTCTGCGGACTCAGCGCGAGGTACATTCCATTCGAGGAATGCGGCGTCTCTTCGAGGGAATAGGCTTAACTGTACGCGACGGCTCCCTATATAAGGATCTCAAAATTGGCACCAAGGGTTGTTGGTTATACGGAGGTGACCGTCACGCACGTACGGTCTGCAGTCAGCGGACACAATGGCCGCGGCCGTGAGGCCGGTGGTTTGTCGTTTTCGAACATTGACGGTCGCGAGAAACCTAGACTATCGAGGCAGCTACGAGTCCGGTTAGCACGTCAAGAAAATCAACATCAACAATACGGCTGCGACTCAGCCGTGAGACAATGCGAGAGGGCCCCGAGTTGTACAACGATTATATCGCACGTCATCAGAAGATCTAAGTTTCGAGCTCTACACCACAAATTATCATCTGTACGGTCATCAATAGTACGGTCACAACTCTCATCAGAAGAAACGTGACGGGCATAGCATCAACCGAAGTACGGTCGTCATAAATTCTACGGTTAGACCGCCCGCGAGACATCACTATAGCGCGGGAAATACGGCCAGGAAGAAGGAGCAACTGTTAAGAAGACGCGAGATTACAGCAGCGGTACGGCCGCTGAACATACGGCTGTAAACGTGTGCGCAAGTTACGGTCGTTTACAACTGTCATACGCATTGGAACTGCAACGGATCACACGCTTTTTCCGGTAAAATTAGATTATTTTAATGATGTAAACCGATAGGTTTTGGACTTTTGATTGTGTTCAGATTACATTTTTCAAGTACTAGAGATTTTTTTTGTTAATGTAGGATGTGAACTTTAATTTTCCAATTTAATGTGAAATGTATCAGTGTTTTACTACAAACAACCCTCTCTTTGTACTAGTTTGCCGTAACCTATTCATACGAGAACTTAGTCACGTGCCTATCAAGCGCCACTCGACGAAAACCTGACAAAACGATAAGTAATGAATACCGGTATCTTGAACCTGAACCTGAACGTAGAGTAAAATTGTTGGAGTAATCACTCCGAGTGTCCAACTTAAAATATATGAGACCATAAGAAACTTATTATTATTATTATTTTCTTATTCTAATCACGATCACAGATACTTACTGCAGTAATTTTTCAGATATTAATTGCTTTGTCAGAGCGGCAACGAGGATGCGCTGAAGGCAGCCGTGGCCACCGTGGGTCCTGTGTCTAGTTTTCTTGGTTGCTTCCACCCAATAATATTGTTTTTGAAATTCAAAACCATAAAATAAATTTAATGCATTCTTAAATTTTACTTAAAACCCACTTTTAACTCGACGTGTTTATATAAAAACCCGGTTTTTTTAACACTAAAAAGTCCAGCCCGGGTGGGTAGGTGAACAGCTCCCTGGGCAGGTGCCCCGTGAAACCCTGGCTTCACAGCACGAGAGTAGAGAGTAGTACAGAAAAATACTTTATCTTAATAAATTGGTAGCGCGAGGCTAAGTTCAGTGCTCAGTAACATGCAACCAGAACTGCCATCGAGAAGTTGAAATTATTTGAATTGAGTATTGAGTGTAAAGAGACTTTCTGCCATGATATTCTTTGTGGAAACATGATTCGCAGAAGCACCGCCATGGCAGGACAAGAAACAGCCTTTTCGTGACATGCGCTCGCTGGAAAGCAAAGACAAAAAATACATCAGGAAGGATAAGGTAAGATTTATAAATATAACGACATTTTTACCAAATAATCAATCATGAAAGTAAAAGGACAGATCAAATGAACCAAATAGCTGGGTTCCACGTGGCACAACAGGCATCGGTATCTAGGTCTAGAAACGAATGCTATAGCCGTAGGTCGAAGAAACTGCGTCAATTAAACTTTTGTTTCGAAAAATTTCATTAAACACAAAATCGAAAATTATGATCCGTACGGAATGCAGCTATACCGGCTAAAAATGCAAAGATTAGAGAAAGACCTTTTATCTAGACAGAAATCAAAGACGTTCCACTGGCGATTAAGCGCGGGGCAGACGATATATGAGCGCGGAGATTGTCCATCTCGCACAATAGTGGCTCGGCTTACGCTGTTGAATGACTCGGACCGATGCAAGGCGGTAAAGTCACGTATACGTACGCACAACCGTTGGCCAGATATAAGAAGCGCCGCTGGCCTAGAATACGTTGGAAATGAACCCATAGCCGTAGCTGTTTCTGCATTGCTGCGAGGCGTGAATGTGACGAGATGATACGCAGCAGAGAGCTGTCATAGAAAATGGTTTTGCGGCGCAGCCGCTCACGACTCAGGACAAAGAACCTTTACTGCACTTTATTTATTTACACTGAGTTACTGTCGCTCGTTCTGTAATACTTTTTACCGAAGTCTCATATGCAAATTTGATGACGTAATTTATGTCACTTCTAATAGTGATGCCAGTAGTCACTACAACAAGATTAAAAACAATCAGAAAGATGCAGTTTTCGGGGATGTTTTCGGCGTCGCGGTGACATTGGTTCTCTGTGGGCAAAGCCGAAGCGAAATTTGTTTAAAAAATTTACTTTCCCTAAACATAGTTCAAAATTAATTGGCATATAATTTCTTTTCCACTCTTTTCACTGCCAATAACGGGAATTATTCGAGATAAAAGCCGAAAATGGTTTGCCCAAGGCCACCTGACGGTTCGCCAACATCTTTTGCAGTGTACATAGAGGGTAGAAAAGTTATTCAACGCAGGCTTAGAGAGACGAGGAGATTCAAGTTGTTGTGATTTTGACCTGACATATTCGTCTGGTGTGCTGAAGCCAATACCATTTCGAACAGCTAGATTTGTTCATCATTTGATACTTCCTGTGAAAGCTTAGGAAAACAAAATTCATATCAGTTAGAAGAAAATTTAGTATATAAAGTCAGTATTTTCTCTGTGCATGATTAGATTTGATACCCTAACGATGGTTGTCCTTTGTTAGCAAGCAGGCCAAAGGCCCTGGTTAAACCATGACCGAACTTTGATAAGTGATACTGAGCTTACATAAAAAACATGTTACTTACATTTATTTATCTAAGTGCGCTACATTAAATGATGCAAATATTTAACTTCTAGCAGAGTGCGGACAAAAATCATTTAAAATTTTTTGTCCGCAATTGATTTTTTCTAGTACAACGAACCAGACACCGTTGATTAGACAATTGACGCTGCATTGACTTGTCAGAGAATGTGCGTAATAGCAGTTATTAGCAGTCTAATAATTAATTAAGTCATACTTAACACCGCTAGTCGATCAAAATTATACTTCGCACCATACGTTTCTTACTTGAATCATACTTCGTACCGCTAGTCGTTTATTATTTATTTCCCTAATTCTTATTTAAAAACATTTAAACTGATCATTAGTGAAATTATAACAGATTATTTGCCATTTTGAAGTGAATAAAATACTAGGTTTGGAAGAATTTTCAAGTGGAATTTTAAAAGTTGTCAATACTAATTCTATTTAAAAACGGCTGAACAGACACTCGTGAAATAATAGCAGACTTTTCGCCTCTTTAAAGTGAATAAATTCTAGGTTTGGGAAAAATTTCAAGTTGAATTTAAAAAGTTATTAAAACTAATCCTATTTCAAAAACAGGCGAACTGATGCTCGTGAAATTAAAAGACTTTCTGCTGCTTTAGAGTATATAAATCTCCAGACTTCCGAGAATTATTGAGTTTAATTTAAAAAGTTATGAATACTAATTCTATTTCAGAACCGGCTTAACTGAAACTACTGAGTTATAACAGACGTCTTGCCTCTTCTATACGAATAAATTTCTAGGTATGGAAGAATTGTCAAGTAAAATGAAAAAATTTATTGATACTAATTCTATTTCCGAAACCGCTGGGGAGACATTTGTGAAATTTTAATAGCATTTTTTGTGAAAATATAGCAGACTATATGCCGTTTCAAGGTGAAAAATTTCTAGGTTGAAGCTCTGTATGCCGGAAGTTCTAAAAGAATGCTCGTCTCGTGAGCATTTGCATAATTAAATCACATTAGATTTCATAATTAAATCAAAATAGTCAATTTGATGTTCTCCAGTAGCTGTAGAGTGTAATTTTCTTTCAATTTTGCTTCGTTCTGTCTGCGCTCACATCGCTTTAAATTAATTTGATCAATCTCCGTGAGTTCAGTGGTAGGTCCTGGGATAAATTTATATTTAATTGTATCTGAAATATTTCGAGGGGGCAAGCAAAAATTGTTGTTTTCATTAATGTACAAAATCTGGTATAATTCGTGTTTTGCTCGTTTTATTTATATATAAATCCGCATTTCTGGCCAGTCTGAAGCCGAACCTAAAGAAAAAGCGTCATTGGATGATGCTTCAGACTTCGTTTACCACTCGTGACGCTGGGTGCTCCCTCTGGGTCTGTCTTCGCGGCAGTTCGGCAGGATTGTGGTTCCCATACGTGGGGCTTCGTCGTTCTGAAGCTCGGCAGCTGTGGGCGTTATCTCCTCCCTCGCCTAGCCCAAGAATATCAACGGTAAAGCTTCTTTCATGGCCAGAAATTTTTTGATCTTGCTCCCTGCCATGTTACTAAACAGGATGATTCTATGAGACTCAATCGTAAATTCTCGAATTCCACCGATTTTTTGTTATTATACTCTTACATCCTCTTATTCAACTCCTGTTTATAAGCTTTGAAACAGACTGCCTGCAGATTGGATGTCGAGGCCAGGCATGGAGGATCGAGCTTGCTTCAAACCTTCCATTAGCCTTTAAATAAATCAAACTTAGTGCCCTGGTATTTGACGTTTCTCGTTTCCTTTAAGAAATTCGTTCCAGAAATCTAATGTTGGAGGAAACTCACGGCGCCCGTCCTGCGGTTTGTCTTGCATTTTTGTATGGAATAGAATAGAAGTGTCGGCGTTGAAGAAATAGGCCCATAGCCTGTTGCCGATTCTTGAACTTTTCGTGACTTGATTCACAAGGGATCCGGCCTTTGGAACCCGATCTTTCCATAGCTGACGATTGATTGAGATAGCTGCTAGACTTATTGCCTGGTCCGTAATTTGCTAGGCATTTTAAGACTGAACATATGCTCCTGCATAGCTTCGTCTAGTCTGTTTTTGAAGATGTTCATACTCGGAGCGTCAACGATGCTATCAGGGAGGCTGTTCCATAATTCATGTTATTCATGTTATTCATGTATTTCATTCATGTTAGTTGCATCAGCAGTGCAGTTGCTCATTAGTTCAGTGTTAAGACGAGCAGTCAGCGGCTGCAAATTAGACGTACGAGTTAAGCACACACAATTTCACCAATGATAATGTGCACATATACACAAATCTCAGAAGCAATTTATTTCTCCATTGGGTGAGCAACATTCAAAGTCACGATATTTAACTATTCATAAATTTAATCAATATTATTACATTAATATAATAGATTCATAAAAATTATTTACTCTATAACTGCAGGAGATTATGTAAATGTGAAATTGGTCCTCATCTTGAACGCGTGTAGCGTTGCGGAGGACAGGTTCGCCGGCGTGACGCTAGATGGCGTCTGCGTGCGTGTCGCCACGAGCACGAGCCGTAACCCTGAGGGACGAGTTGAATAGATATCAAATAACCATGCATGAAATAGGCTTTTAAATGTGTAGTTTACAGCCTCATTTCTCCCCGTGATTAATTTTCTTCTATTTCAAGGAACGTCATTGAAATGTTGCTCGGCAAATCACATAACCTCTATGACGTAACTTTTATGGGTTGCCTTATGGCACAAATAAAAAGTTGGAAGAAAAGAATACATTGGATAGGCTTAGTATATTAACCATGCCATACCGGACAATTCTCATTGTTTTACCTCTCAAATTTTTTAGTATCTTTTTTAGATAAAAAATACTCGGAGATTCGACCAACTCTGGATAAATTTATTTATGTGAAGTCACTGTCAGCATTAGTAAAGTATTTCTAACTACCCATCATGATCGTTGGTATTTGCGCCAACATTTTTAATGGCTAGTACATGGTATATCTAAAAATGTAAATTAGCATAAATTGTCATCTGATGATGTTGGAAGCATTCAAAATAACGAAGACAACTCATTTAATGACGGGATTTGTATACGAATGGAGAGAAATGACGAATTGCTAAGGAAATGGCTGAAAATAGGCATAGTTTCAAAACTATAATAAATATCGCTTTTTCTCTCCTGATAAGCACATGTCAGTTCGTATAAATTACCAAATACATCTAAACGCATATTGCTGGCAAGAAGATTATTCCAGGCTTTCCATTGAAAAATTTACTAATTATTTGTTGAATTAAATTAAAATAATTGATTTGGCCAACAGCTAGCGTGGCACGGGCAGTGGAGCAGAGCTTGGCGCAAACCCCACGACGACGCCCGCGTGAGCCAACGGCGCGTCATTCATTTGTACGCGCCACATTCTGGACGCTCGTGGTTTGTTATTATTGGAATATTTTGGCAGAAGTTGTTCTTTTATGCAGGTTTTGTTGGAGACCTGAGAGAAATTCTGATATAACATCTTCTTATTGGTATTTTAAAATTTTCCAATTAGATTTTTTGTAGGATTTGAAAGTTCATATACGAGATTTGCAAAGGACATTTTACTTATTGATTATGACATTCCGAATACCCATTATTAATTAATGTGAAGTAACCTGAAGGTTTTCTTGTCGCTCAAAATTTGTATTTCAGAATAAAATAAGTTCAACATTGTGTACTACGAGCACAATTCGAGAAATGAAACCTAAAATTCGCTTGAAAGTAATTTAAATTGTCTGACAAATTCATTGCTTAGTATATTGATAATTGCATTAAATTGATTTCGGTTCCCGACCGGATTGTAAGGCCCAGTTTCTCACAGTTGAATAATTTCAACAAGCATTGGTTCAACCATGCATGTAGTGAGGGGCTCTTCCGATAAAGTCATTCATGATGACACAATCTTCTGAAAAGTTCGATTCGTCAGTAAATGATTATTTTTTTATACACATTAATTTCAAACGGCAACAAAGACAAACAACTATTTTAATTTTTTCTTTCAATTACACTATGCGTCAAACTTTATATCAGACACGTTTCACTATAAGTTTAATAAGCACGGGTAGAGCGCGACCTAGCAAACGGTCAGTCCTACGGATAGAGACTTATGTTGCCCGTCATGCAGCCAATAATATTGTGAGTATACCGTAAACTAAACATACTGAGCAAAGTTTGCTGTGTCGATGAACAACTATGAAGTAGACATCTTTTATGAAGGGTTGTGTACGAAAGTCTTTTATGGACCAAGACTAAAACACGGGGTCGTGGAAGACTCAAGAAGAGCAAAGTGAAACATATTACATATCTAACACGTTTGCTGCCGATCTTTACGTCTGCAATAATGGCTCTGGGCCTATACTTTCAAAAAAGTTTAGAGATCGTAAGTTCACCAGCCGACCACTGACGGCCTTTCAAGCAAAATCTACCAATCATAGAACAAGAAAATAGAGCGTAAGTACTTACGTTCACTTAGCGAGTTTTGAAAGTTTGGCCAGGTTTCACTCATCACGCCAGGTTAGCACGAGCTTTATAAACAGTTATTGGCACAGTATTCAAGGTACACGGAGGCTGCTCTAGGTATTATGGTATTTCGTAGGAACCACGTATTACACCGCGATCATGCCAGCTGCATATATAGCTTCTGTTAAAGACCAAGTACTTATATGTACATGATATTCTTCTGTTGATGAGCACCGTGTTAATGTTTCCGATGTTAAAACGTTTAACTCATGTCTCGCAGATAACTCGTGTATTTACTCGTGCATTGTTGTTGTATTTTTTATGTATACAAGAATTTTCGTGCTAAAGTGAGTACTTTGTATGCAAAATACTTGAAACTGATTACATTATTATAAATTTAAATGAATTTAATCAAAATATGATGCTATGAGGGCCATGCTTCGACAGGTGTTGGTCGACGTCTCATTGTTGATCAAACCCG